CGTCGAAAAGTTCAACATGGAAGTTCCGGATGGGATTGCTGGAAACATTCGCAAACAGTGTTTTGTCAGGATCAGCCCCGGATGTTGGACATATATTGTCAAATTACTCTAAACATATTCGACAAAAATGATAGACAATAGACACATTTCATTATATCACCAATTAAAACATTTATTTTGTTCTTTTATTCTATATACAATATACAAGAAATTAAAATATACATCATCAACAAACAAAAAATAGTTTTTAAAACCCAGACACACAAGATAATGAGTAATCCAAGTAATTTCTTCTCATGAAAATAAGTTACTAAATTATTGAAAAATAAAACTACATGTATTACAGTAGATGTTTTCTTTAACTGAAGGTGACGAGAAAAAAAAAAAACAGAAATACATTTCATACCTGGTAACATTATGTATACAATTAATTTGGCCTTGTGGTATCACCCTGATTTTCGTGGCAAGATGACTTTGTAAATTCAACAAGACAGCAAACATATTTGACCAGGGAAGACTACAGACCACAGTTAAAAATCCAATCAATTCAAAGTTTTCAGAAGTTGTATTTTCAACATAAATATGAAAACAAAATCACAATTAAATCAACAGTACATAGTTGTCTATGTTCTATCAACATACAGGACTTATTTAATATCCAACAGCATTCAATTAATCATTTAAGTTACTTTCTTGTTTTTTATTCACAATTATTACCCAATTGATTATTTAAAAAATATATTGAGCAACGTTTGCTAGACTTGTTTCAGGGACTGTGTTGGCCAAATTTGAACTTTAACCATGAAGTAACTGGGTGATATCTTCAGGATAAATTAAAATATAATGTAAGAAAACAGTACAGCCAGTTATGTAGTATACCCAATGAAACAATACAAATAAAATCACACTGATTAAGTACCTGGCACTTTCGTCTGTGAATTAAATTATAATTTAATTTTGATTCTAGCAGGAAAAAGAGATTGAAATTTTTTTTTGAAATTCAAAAAGCTATTTTTTGCGCAACACAATGTGATAACACTACAGACAGGTAAAGTTGTCAGTCAACAAGTAAGTTATTTAATTATGGGAACAAAATAACCCCTACCCACTTCTTTACTACAGCAACCAAATAACAGTGAACAAGTACAAAACCAAACGGAGAAAAATTTGATGTAATCAGGACAAAAGTGAACTAAAATTACAATAAGTGAGAATTTCATAGCAGGATAAAAGAGGAGTGAAATTTTGTGAAAATTCAAAAGCCATTTTCTGAGCACCACAACATGAGAACACTATTTCAGACAAGAAAGGTTGATCAGTCAACATATTTGATATGAGGTCCGTTGGTGACCTCACAACACCTATGTATCTAATTGAATGTTTACAGTTGGTCAGTCAATGACCACACAACAGATATTGTCTATCTTTCGATAGAATTTTTTATTAAAAATAATAAAAGACCTGTAACAGATTTAAAGCAGCGATGCCGTCTACTATATGGATATCTGCTAGAGTAGATATGATTATACACATAAAGAGTATTATGTTACTGTATAACACCAGGCAGTGTACATCATCAATAGTCATATTAGTCCACATTATTATCTTTAATTATGGAATATACAATAATAATAATAATGATAAAATAATAACATCTGTTAAGTATCACCAAGGGCACATCCAGTACATACATAGATAACAGTTCATTAACAAATTCATTTTCATCATAACATCAAACACTTCAGAACAGAATAGTACCAACTAATAAACCCACCTATATAAAAAAAAATCTCTAATTTACATTTCACCCAAGTACACAGCCTTAATTACCATATATATACAATTCATGAATAAAATACAGACACAGCTCTATCACACTGTGTGGAATTTGTTGTAAAACTCCATACATTTCTATAGTGAAAATACTTCCTCTCAAAAATGCTATGTTAATAACGAACATCACATGCAGCCATTGAAAGGAAATACATCACTTAGATATATGTCCATCTTATTAAGTCTGTTTTTCTTTTTAAAATCAATATCTATCTCACTAAATCTGTTATTAAACTTAAAATATCTAGCTTTTACTGTGATTCTTATCAAATGTGTTACGTGTACTCGTTAACTAAAGGTGCTTTTATCAATATCTACCAATCAACTTTGTAACTTGAGGGTTCACTTTTCTTATATTTAATATTATTGACAAAATCTACTTAAATTTGTGACTAAGATATCAGACAAGCAGAATTACCTGGATGGAATACCCAGCTACTGATATCTACCTCCCTAGAGAATTATCATCATTTTGTTTATTTTAATGAATTAAACAGCCACCTAACCATCAAGCAATAAGCCCATTAACATTAATTCATTAGCTAATGATTTATCAAAGTTAAATTTATGACAATGAGGGTAATTTGTCTAAACCTGTCTTTACTCTCACAATATTTGGACTAAATTGCCAAACATAAATTGAACATCTGCATATTTAGTCTATATATCACAACTCCTTAATGCCAAACATAAATTGAATATCTGCAAAGTTCTTCACTGAAATCAAATTACAAACCATATGCAATGAAGGTAAACATTAAATAAAATGTTTTTAAAAGTAGATTCACAGAGGTCCACTGAAATAGATGAAGTGAAGAAAAGTTGGTTTAATGGACAAACAATAATTACGAAATTTGGTTGGATTTTTTTTCTCTGTCTCTAAAACATGAGATAACTGGTACGAAGTTATTTGTATTTATGTAACACTGCATTATATTTTGATGGCATATCATTGAAATTAGACGTGTTCTATCCGAGATTCAAATTCCTCAAGCATTCCAGTTGGACATATCATTATGTATCCATGTAGATTTTAAGTTACAATTAGTCTGTGTTGATACCATTACATAGACTAATTACAGGAACATATCATTAATGGCAGTGTGTGTATACCTCACAGTTCCTTGTACAAAACAATGTCAATCTTCAAGAAAAAAATCATCATATAATATTCCGAGGTCAATAGTTATTCACTTCAAATACACAAACCAAGGAGGAAGCATTTCATGTCTTCAACCTTAAACTTGTTTTTCATGCATTAAAAACGAAAATGTCCTAAAATTTATTGCAATGACAAATCTATGAGAATTGATGGTTAGAATAACTACAACTATCAAATGTTTGATAACTGGCATGACGAAATCAAAACATTGATGTTAACACAAAACCCTTGCTAACCTGACAAAATTAATTAATTTCTGAGGACAGTGTCAATTGTATCTACATTAAGTGTGCTCATTTGTAGACAAACAAATTGAGTAATTTGTGCCTGTGTGTACATCACATTCTGTGCCTAAAAATCCACTCTTTGTTTAAGCCTAGTCATGCAATTAATATTCAATGAAGAATGTATACTACCTTACTTCATCATCAAAAGAGTAATTTGAGAAACTTTCAAAAAATGACTTTTTGTGTATAGCATTGTCTTTTTTTTTTTTTTTTACAAAATATGCACAAAAAATAACTAAACCAGAAATAAATAATTTAATTCTTAATGATTTCATAATTATCATAAAAGTTTTTTTTTTGTGGGAAATTACTTCTAATAAAATTTAAAAATATAAAGCTGAATAAGCTGTCACCTCTAAGTTCTGTATTAAAAAAAAATAACCATGCTTACATTCTGTTTCATACCAATGGTTTTAGAAGCAGTTGTATGAAAGAAACGGCATCAACAAGGACAATTATTTTAGAATTTATTTAACTAAAACACAAAATCTTGTTTCATGGCTATTTCCTTAACAATACAACTGCAGAACTAAACCAAATGAAACATTTTTCTAAAGTTTCCAAATGGTAAAAAATATTCAAAACATATAAAGCATTTCAGTGATGCGAGTACAAGTAGTTTAAATTTGTTCCAATACCACTAAAATCATTTATATCATTTAAAACAAGTATGTGTAATTAAAAAAATTACAATAAATGTTTTACAAGCAGAACCAACATATCTCTTATACTTTATCTAGTAAGCACCTTTTCTCATCACACAATGGCAAATACAAAGGTCAAAATGTAGGACTTCAGTTTCATGAGACGCCTTATCTGGTTAAAAACATTCCTCTTATGGCTTAGTAGTACTACACATGAATTGAATAAATATTAAGACATTTTATATGGAAGATGAAAGTGACGAAAACTGGTGTAACTGAAACACTAAAATAAACAATATGATGTAATGCATGTTAAAAGTTATTTATACCACTTCAGCACAATATATATGGGTTCATCCAATAATTTAAAATCATACACACAACAGCACTTAATTAATCTATGCACTTCTTTAATAGGAATTCACTCCAGCATTAGTGCTGGACATCTCTTCTTATAAACGGGAAGCTGGCAGAGCATTATGATAATGATACTAAGTTTTACATTGTTCGGTTAATTCTACAATTAAAAATTCTGGGGGGGGGGTTTGGGGGGGGGGGGGGGGGGGGGGGGCGCAACTTATTCAAATGACTAAATACACACAGCATATTATTATTCTGTTTTTGCTCCATCTGAGAAAATGGGTTTAGCAGAGAATGACAGATAGAAGAGACATTCTGAAATTGATTTCATCAATCAAATCAAAACTTTGTATATATATACACACATATATGGACTACAAGTCATACCCACTGATAAGAATAGAAATCATTGAATTGTTTCTGATCAATTAAGAAAATGCAAGCTTCCTGATGGTAAAAAATGCTTGCATTACCTTACAGAATATTTCATTCTTTGTAAACATAAGGCATCCTCCTTATTGAAACCACGGCTGTTTAAGTAAAACATCCGTCTGACTCTAGGATTCCAAAATATATTTCTATCCATGGTTTTGTGTCCCACCTGTTACTTTTCAGCACATTATCAAGTCTGTTCTATGGGTGGTACCCTCAACAAAACCTGGAGCTCTGGAAGGGGGAACCCTCTCAACAGAACCTGAAGCCCTGGAAGGGGGTACCTCTCAACAAAACCTAGAGTCCAGGAAGGGGGTACCTCTAAATAAAACCTGGAGTCCAGGAATGGGGTACATCTAACTAAAACCTGGAGGCCAGGAAGGGGGTACCCCTAAATAAAACCTGGAAGCCAGGAAGGGGGTACCCCTAAATAAAACCTGGAAGCCAGGAAGGGGGTACCTCTAAATAAAACCTAGAGTTTTGGAAGGGGGTACCTCTAACTAAAACCTGGAGTCCTGGAAGGGGGTACCCCTAAATAAAACCTGGAGGCCAGGAAGGGGGTACCTCTAAATAAAACCTAGAGTTTTGGAAGGGGGTACCTCTAACTAAAACCTGGAGTCCTGGAAGGGGGTACCCCTAAATAAAACCTAGAGTTTTGGAAGGGGGTACCTCTAACTAAAACCTGGAGTCCTGGAAGGGGGTACCCCTAAATAAAACCTGGAGGCCAGGAAGGGGGTACCTCTAAATAAAACCTAGAGTTTTGGAAGGGGGTATCTCTAACTAAAACCTGGAGTCCTGGAAGGGGGTATCTCTAAAATAAACCTGGAGTTTTGGAAGGAATAGGCATTTTATTGAAATAGTCATCATACAAAATCAACAGTTATAGATTTAAAAGAATACATTTACAAGGGACCAGCCCTTGTTGATATACCATGACAGCTGTTGAGAAAACATTTCTGATTGACACATAAACAATATATAACACAAATACTATCTCAGGAAACTTTAAAATACTTAGACATATATATTTCCTCTCTCAGGAAATTTTCAAATGATCATCAATACATTTCTTTTCTCAGGAGACTTTCAAACAATCACACATGCATTTTCTTTTTTAAGAGACTTTCAAACAATCACACATGCATTTCTTATCTCGGGAGACTTTCAAACAATCACACATACATTTCCTTTTTCAGGAGACTTTCAAACAATCACATATACATTATCTTTTTCAAGAGACTTTCAAACAATCACACATGCATTTCTTCTCTCGGGAGACTTTCAAACAATCACACATACATTTCCTTTTTCAGGAGACTTTCAAACAATCACATATACATTTCCTTTTTCAGGAGACTTTCAAACAATCACATATACATTTCCTTTTTCAAGAGACTTTCAAACAATCACATATACATTTCCTTTTTCAAGAGACTTTCAAACAATCACACATGCATTTCTTCTCTCGGGAGACTTTCAAATAATCTCGCATTCATTTCTGATTACTTGTGAGAAAAAAGCTTCAACACATTTTGCCATTATTATTTATCAAATAACTGAAGTAGCCTTTTTTTCTTTAGAAGAAATACATGTACATATATCAGAACAATTTGAGCATATAAATGGAAAATCCTTATAATGTGTAAGATTTCAGAACATAAGCACACCATGTGTGATAGCAACAGGAAGTAGAACTATTAGAAAGATGACAATGTTGCGCAGGAGTCGTGTCCACTCACTGGGGACAGCATACTTAGCCAGTGTATTGGTGACCTTAGAGATCTCATGGCTTATACAAATAAAGATGAAGGAGGTGACAATCACATTCAGCACTGGGTAGCTTGGAATTAAGGCCAGGACTCCGTTAGTATCTGCAGCCAGCCATATATGATACTGAGCTATGAACAACTGCAAACATAACAATAAAATATGTAAGTAATGTAAACTTTGTCAGAGAAAACAGTGATCTGTTCGTTTGATTTTAACTAGCTGATTATTGATTTCTTGTGTGCTGTGTTTATTGTTCTATCAACAGCTATAGGGTTATTGGAAAAGTGTTTTGCCCAAGAACACAACTACGACAACACAAGCCAATCTATGATCTTGGTTTCCTGAGAGACAAAAACCTTCGCCAGGCAGGCACCAAATCCCTAACCTTGGATATTCACCGGAGTTTGAAATGTTAGTTGCTCTATCACAGATTGAAAAATTTCACAGACCAAGTCACAGATAATCACCTTATTCTTCAAATTGAGCACAGACTATGCAATCAATTTTCCATTTATTTAACTTAATTGTCTGTTGATCAGAACACTTACCTCCAGTGAAATTTTTCCAAACCAAGCAAAGAAGGAGCTGTATTTTGTTCTCAGCCAGCCAGGGACATTACGTACAGTTATGTACGAGACAATCTGAGAAAAAAAAAGGGGGTTCATTTATCTGGCTACAAATGCGACATGCCAGAGGGACATGAATGCCTTGAAAGCAACCAAGGAGGATTTTGAAAGTTTTTAATGTTGTTTTTGTATTTAATTCCACTCGATTATAACAAGTCTCTCCAACTTCTTGCATTATGTGTTCAGTCCCAGAGAACAATCTCTTTTAGCAGTGTCAGTGAAAAATCAGTGGGCCTCACAAAGTACTGAATTATTAGTGTAACATTACTTAAAACATTGTATAACAAAGTAAGGTGTGATAAAGTCTACTCACCGGAATGAATACGATGTAGGAATGATAGTCGTTACATTCCCTTTTGTTCTTGCACACAAACGCAAAGGCAGTATAACTCTGAAAAGTGATAAAATAACACAATGTAAGTCACAAGTACGAGTCCTCCCAACAATAGTACTGTTCTTGTGAGGTTAGACACAAGATCGATGTAAGTCACAACTATGAGTCCTCCCAACAATAGTACTGTTCTTGTGAGGTTAGACACAAGATCGATGTAAGTCACAACTACGAGTCCTCCCAACAATAGTACTGTTCTTGTGAGGTTAGACACAAGATCGATGAAACTTGAAGTAATAGGATTTTTTCCTAGATTTCACAGCATTGATTATCACGATATAGGAAACCTTTTAAACTACCCAAGATATCCCGTAAAAGCTATGCAACAGCTTATTTCTAATGGGGTTCACCAATGTATTACCCCATTCTTACTGACCCTAGTTTATTTTTTCCTTAAAGTTCAGCTACATTTTACCTCATTCTTACTTATCCTAGTTCATTTTTCCTAAAAGCTCAGCCACATTTTACCTCATTCTTCAATTGTCATAGTTCATTTTTTCCCTAAAGGCTCATCTATGCTTTACCCTATTCTTACTGATCCTAGTTCACCTTACTCCAATAGTTCATCAATGATTTTACCCCATTCTTACTTACCCCAAGTCCTATGAAGCCAAGTATCATGAGGCAGTAGCTGAAGCCTTTTGATACAAGAGATTCTTCCGTGGTATCATTGATAATTCTAAACTTGATGAGCATCTGGTATGCAAACGCAAACAGCATGCCAAATAGCACACTCTGTAAGGAAAGATCATGAACTTTGTTACAGTTACATTAACATTACTATCACTGAGAGGTTGTTAACAGATATTTTACATTCATGCAAACTTTCTGGGATTTCAATAGATATTCCTCTTGTCTTCACTGATATATATATCTTGTGTGTACCAGCATAACCCTCTTGTTTTACTAACATACCACAATTCTTTTAACTGATACATCCCTTTGAGTTAATGATATATCCCTCATAATTTTACGGACAAATCCCTCTTGTTTTTAATGATATACAACATTTTCTGGACTATAAGTCACAATGGTATATAAGCCGCAGAGACAATCTTTATCATTTTTTACTTTTTGATCCAAATATTATCTGCACCAGAATAAAAGCCGTACTCTTTCTTTCAATATAATAACCATTATGTTGACCAAAATTTGTTGATATAACAGACAACAGAAGGCAATTTATCAAGATTGTTAGTGAAACATTTAATAAAGTTTGCAAATTATGCCCAAATAATCCTTTAATCTAATGATGTATTCTAAAAATTATCCTGATCTTTCAAAATACATATTAAAATACTGAATTTGTTTGGCTTGGGGCCAGGTTTGTTAACAATCTCTCCATTGATGTCTGTACTCTTAGATATTGATGAATACCCTTGCATGCTAACAAAATTCTTATAATCCCATATTATTTCTTCTTGTAATTCAACCACAAAGATATTCATATGGTAAACAAGCATGGCTGTCGTTTTAGTGTTTTTTTTTTTAACTTTTAGCCATACACCTATCAAACCCAGAGTACAATAGGATATTGTAAACTTCCGCCATGCCTCCTTATAACTGCTGTGAAGTAGCCATGAAAGTCATGAAGATATCATTGTGATTTGCATTAATTTAATAGGCATGAGTAATGAAATCCATAAGAAAAAATAAAATCTATGATTAATTAAATCCACATGTAGTTTTCTCTTTATTGCAATATTCAAATCATTAAGTATAGGATTACAAGCCACGCTTCTACATGATCTATTTCAGTCACAAATACGTAGAGGGCAGGTACTCAGTCAAAAAAGAAGTACCATCCCTGCAAAATACAGTACACATTTACAATTTGGAAAATATGGTATCTGAAAATTTCTGTACTTACATATCTGTCCAGTTTCCACCGGAATCTCCATTCGTGTATGGAATCATCGGAGGTAACAAACAGAGCCTTCAGAGGCTGAGTAAGGAACACTTTCTCAAAAAACACCTGCAGTAACAAGATATAGAGAAAAGTCATATCTGATTCCTTTTGACCTTCAATTGAAAAGTCTGAAGATAAATACTTAAAAGAAGATGCTCAACGGTCTTAACAGTCACCCGAGTTACAATACTATCATCCTGTTTTTAACATGTCATAGACTTAATGCTGTTATCAAAGTATGATAACTTGAACTATATTATATGTAATGCAAATAAAATGTAACTTGTGCATATTATCAATATTAACTGCCATACCAAGCTATGACTTCTAACCATGTTTGAATTAAAAGAAATTACACTCAATTTTCCTATATAAACTTTTCCATCTATGAACAGTATTTATTAGTTTCTATCTTATCTGGGTATCGAGACCCCTTTTGGCCCCATCTGTCAGCCCCTTAGGGTCAGTCAAGATCATTAGGACTTATCATTAATCTGTCACCTTTTACTAACAATTCCAATCAAGTTTGAACTATATCCAATAAAAACTAAATCATTCTCAACCATGCAATTCCCTACCTAGATAACCGCGAGGGAAACATGGGACTCAGGGGTCATGAAATAATCTTAGTATAGTATCTTAAAACACTTCTATCCATGAAAAGTATTTGATTCTACCATGCTTGGGTATTGAGAAGAAGATTTTTTAAAAAATTGATCAATATGACCATTTTTGGACCAGTCCCTCAGGCCTTAGGGGTAGGGACCTTATAATTTACAATTTTAGCTCATCTTTGGACAAGGAAAATTTCTGCAAAATTTCACAGAAATCAGTTCAGAGTGTTCTAGAGGAAGTAGAAAATGTTTTAAGTTTTTTAACAACAGACAAAAGGTGATTAAAACATATCAACATGAGATCTTGTGTCAGGTGACCTAAAAATTCTGTTCCTTATTGTCTACAAAAAAAAAAGAATATTAAACCCATGAGTATCTTTATCAGTCTTGATCCCCTTCCACTTTAATAGCAAGTTTGATACCAATAGGCTAAAAATGATGTTGTTTTGTAAACATAAAAAGGGTCACACTAACCAGATAGAGGTCAAAAGACATAAAGGTTGTCACTGTATGAACTTGACCAGATGGTGTACACTTACTTACCTCTGTGGGATAGGGGTTGTTATTGTACAAACTTGACCAGCTGGTGTACACTTACTTATCTCTGTGGGATAGGTGCGGTTATCATACAAACTTGACCAGCTGATGTACACTTACTTACCTCTGTGGGATAGGGGTTGTTATTGTACAAACTTGACCAGCTGGTGTACACTTACTTATCTCTGTGGGATAGTGGCTGTTATTGTACAAACTTGACCAGTTGGTGTACACTTACTTACCTCTGAGGGATAGGAGTTGTTATTGTACAAACTTGACCAGTTGGTGTACACTTACTTATCTCTGAGGGATAGGGGTTGTTACTGTACAAACTTGACCAGTTGGTGTACACTTACTTATCTCTGAGGGATAGTGGTTGTTATTGTACAAACTTGACCAGCTGGTGTACACTTACTTATCTCTGTGGGATAAGGGTTGTTATTGTACAAACTTGACCAGCTGGTGTACACTTACTTATCTCTGTGGGATAGGGGCTGTTATTGTACAAACTTGACCAGCTGATGTACACTTACTTATCTCTGTGGGATAGGGGCTGTTATTGTACAAACTTGACCAGCTGGTGTACACTTACTTATCTCTGTGGGATAGTGGTTGTTATTGTGCAAACTTGACCAGTTGGTGTACACTTACTTATCTCTGAGGGATAGGGGTTGTTACTGTACAAACTTGACCAGCTGATGTACACTTACTTATCTCTGAGGGATAGGGGCTGTTATTGTACAAACTTGACCAGTTGGTGTACACTTACTTATCTCTGAGGGATAGTGGTTGTTATTGTACAAACTTGACCAGCTGGTGTACACTTACTTATCTCTGTGGGATAAGGGTTGTTATTGTACAAACTTGACCAGCTGGTGTACACTTACTTATCTCTGTGGGATAGGGGCTGTTATTGTACAAACTTGACCAGCTGATGTACACTTACTTATCTCTGTGGGATAGGGGCTGTTATTGTACAAACTTGACCAGCTGGTGTACACTTACTTACCTCTGTGGGATAGGTGCTGTTATTATACAAACTTGACCAGCTGGTGTACACTTACTTACCTCTGTGGGATAGTGGTTGTTATTGTACAAACTTGACCAGCTGGTGTACACTTACTTATCTCTGTGGGATAAGGGTTGTTATCAAACTTGACCAGCTGGTGTACACTTACTTATCTCTGTGGGATAGGGGCTGTTATTGTACAAACTTGACCAGCTGATGTACACTTACTTATCTCTGTGGGATAGGGGCTGTTATTGTACAAACTTGACCAGCTGGTGTACACTTACTTATCTCTGTGGGATAGTGGTTGTTATTGTACAAACTTGACCAGTTGGTGTACACTTACTTATCTCTGAGGGATAGGGGTTGTTACTGTACAAACTTGACCAGCTGATGTACACTTACTTATCTCTGAGGGATAGGGGCTGTTATTGTACAAACTTGACCAGCTGATGTACACTTACTTATCTCTGTGGGATAGGGGCTGTTATTGTACAAACTTGACCAGCTGGTGTACACTTACTTATCTCTGAGGGATAGGGGTTGTTACTGTACAAACTTGACCAGCTGATGTACACTTACTTATCTCTGAGGGATAGGGGCTGTTATTGTACAAACTTGACCAGCTGATGTACACTTACTTATCTCTGAGGGATAGGGGCTGTTATTGTACAAACTTGACCAGCTGATGTACACTTACTTATCTCTGTGGGATAGGGGCTGTTATTGTACAAACTTGACCAGCTGGTGTACACTTACTTACCTCTGTGGGATAGGTGCTGTTATTATACAAACTTGACCAGCTGGTGTACACTTACTTATCTCTGAGGGATAGTGGTATTGTACAAACTTGACCAGCTGGTGTACACTTACTTATCTCTGTGGGATAAGGGTTGTTATTGTACAAACTTGACCAGCTGGTGTACACTTACTTATCTCTGTGGGATAGGGGCTGTTATTGTACAAACTTGACCAGCTGATGTACACTTACTTATCTCTGTGGGATAGGGGCTGTTATTGTACAAACTTGACAAGCTGGTGTACACTTACTTACCTCTGTGGGATAGGTGCTGTTATTATACAAACTTGACCAGCTGGTGTACACTTACTTACCTCTGTGGGATAGTGGTTGTTATTGTACAAACTTGACCAGCTGGTGTACACTTACTTACCTCTGTGGGATAGGGGCTGTTATTGTACAAACTTGACCAGCTGGTGTACACTTACTTATCTCTGTGGGATAGGGGTTGTTATTGTACAAACTTTTCCTGTTAGTGTACACTTACCTCTGAGAGATAGAACAGAGTTATAATTGTAGCAAGAATGATGAACTTCAGTATCAGATACAGATAATGAATCTTCTTCTCTGAAATATACAAAGAAATATTAACTTACAACATTGTACATAATATATTATTATATCACATACATTATCTCATAACTAACTGCTATATATGGCAATGTCTTTTAAAATAAACACTTTTTATCTCCCTTTAACATCAGATCTTTCCTTTTCACAGATACCTACCTTCCGCTGATGCAGCGGTGATGTGGGGAAAGATGGCCATGGTGAGGTACACAATGATAAACCAGAATGACACAAGAGGAATGAAATAATAGAACTGGTACGGACGATTCATCACAAAACAAAGGGAGACAACCAGGAAATTAAGTCTGAACAGAACCTGCAAGATAAAAAAAGATCTTATCAGTATTATTCATTAAACTATTGGTATCAAAAGTAACACATAGTGTTCTTTGATCCATGGCTTGTATCAGGCAGAAGTTATCTCACTGCTTCTTCTAAAGCTGATGTCATATAGTATGTACATTTTATCCTTTGCAGAATGACAACCTTAAACATTATGTATTTGCTTGTCATTATGTATTGACTGAAAAACTTCAACCTTATTTTTTCACATAAGTTTGAGATTTATCTTCCTCACACATATATAATAACCAATTATTTCATACAAATACATAACTTGAGAAGGAAATAAAAAACATCAACAATGACAACCAATGGTTATTCTCAAAACACAAAGTCAAAAACATGTTATGAATTTAAACACTTATCAAACCTATCCTATACATTTAAACCTTCAGTTACTAGATTCATATAAACATGTTACGTAAGAACCACTGCATAGAAAATCTCTTAAGCTGAAACATGACGCTCTGACCCTATTGATTTAAACTTTGGGAAAGAATACCTCTATCAACAGCCATCATATAGATTATTTTCTGTAGGGAGTAATTATCATATGTATATTAACTGTATAATCATGTATGGCCCAGTTCAGCTACCTAGCAGGAGAGGAAGCACTTTTTGAGACAATCCCTTCCTATTTCAACCCCCTCCCCCACTTTTCCTTCTAACACCTCACCCTCCCTACACCTCCATTCTTCTAACACCTGTCACCAGTCACACACACCTACTTACTAACACCAGTCACACACACCACGTTCCTACTTACACCAGTAACCAGTCACACACACCTCCTTCCTACTAACACCTGTCACCAGTCACACACACCTCTTTCCTACTAACACCTGTCACCAGTCACACACACCTCCTTCCTACTAACACCAGTCACCAGTCACACACACCTCCTTCCTACTAACACCAGTCACCAGTCACACACACCTCCTTCCTACGAACACCAGTCACCAGTCACACACACCTCCTTCCTACTTACACCAGTCACCAGTCACACACACCTCCTTCCTACGAACACCAGTCACCAGTCACACACACCTCCTTCCTACTTACACCAGTCACCAGTCACACACACCTCCTTCCTACTAACACCAGTCACCAGTCACACACACCTCCTTCCTACTAACACCTGTCACACACACCTCTTTCCTACTAACACCAGTCACCAGTCACACACACCTCCTTCCTACTAACACCTGTCACCAGTCACACACACCTCCTTCCTACTAACACCAGTCACACACACCTCCTTCCTCTTAACACCAGTCACCAGTCACACACACCTCTTTCCTACTAACACTAGTCACACACACCTCCTTCCTACTAACACCAGTCACTAGTCACACACACCTCTTTCCTTCTTACACCCCCACCCCTCCCTTCCCTACTCTTACCCCTCTCCTTCCCATACCTCTTTAAAGCATTTTATGAGAGCATTTGATTAAATTGTTCAGCAATTTCCAGTAAATATATGTAAGAAAAGGTTGACCTCCAATCTATAATTATGGAAAATTGAAAAAAAAGAGAGATTTATTTCCACTTTGAGGAGTCCAAGGTCCCTTGGCCACCTGCAGGATTTCATACTTGTTAAAGACAAATGAACCATATGTCAACAAAACACAAAAATCTCTGTTTTTTTATGATCAATCTGAAATAAACAACAGATATGAGCTTACAGAATAATAGATACTATAAGCAATAACTCTGGTACACAGGCTGATCAGAGCTCCTGGAATAACACAAGCAAGTCAGAGGCAAGTCAAACAACCCAAAGGGATCTTGGCAACATTCACCAAATGGTCTCAACTCGTCTGGCTCTTTGTTCATAAATAGATCTTTTCTCTTACTGCTTAGTTATCTGGAAAAGTGTGAACCATATCTAAACCAAAAATGGCTACTGGCAGCCATCTTGAATTTCAAATAAAAATAGATGCACAACTTATCCTTTGTATGCAGCTGGTTAAGAACCTCTGGGGCTGTAATTGATGGAAAAGACAAATTGATATGTTAATAAACTAATTTCAAAAGATATCTATTGATACACATGATTGTCCAGTAACAATATATTTTTAAACTTGTCTTTGTCAGCCCCTTACTGAATATTGACAATAAAAATGTTTCATTGTTCAGTTTGGCACTAATTTCATTACAATGTAATAACGATGATTACATTGTGCAACTTCAAATCTTAATTAAAGCGCAAAATGAAATGTCACAATTGACTTTAAGCTATCTTTGCCAGGTAAGAAATGAAAAATTACAAAACATGAATTGATAATCATAAACTATCAATGGGTCAACACTGGCTGTATCATTTTCGCAATCAATACTGGTGCTAAGCTTCACTGAACTCTCTCATACATTCAGTATTTCAAGAAAAATATCTTTTGAGCATGTTCCTGAAAATTCATAGTCTCAAACTTCAAAATTCTGGATGTGGAATGCATATCTAGAATCCATACTGTCTGAACTGGCTAAAACATTTCTAAAAAATCCTTTGCATAGTTATAAATAGGTGGTAACACATATTATTTACAGATGAACATGTAACCTGTGAGCGAAAAATATGAAAAAAACAAAAGCAACTGATGGTAGGCTAAAAACTCAACTTATAATATTCCTATTCACTAATACCTGAGAAAGCTATAGCATAAAATTAATTCTTATTAGCATGTCAAAACCAGAAGCAAACATGCAAATAAAGCACCTGCAGCATCACACAATAAATCTCTATACCATACATTGTTCTCTCCTTTATGTGCTTCCATCAAATTCCAGGGACAAAGAAAACAAAAATGTTTAATTATAGTCACAGTGTTAACAGTATACAAAGAGTTGATATTTAAAACTTAAACTCTGCTATTTTAAGAACATTTTGAAATACAGAAAGTTTCTTATGCACAACAACAATATTTTTGGATGTATGAAAAAGATTTTGATGTTTTACCTAAATTACCCCGATCCCCAATATAAAAAGCCACACAGGTGTTCCTGTAACTTATTCAAGTACACATATGTAAAAATAGTAAAACTAACAACTCAACAAAATATTTTTTTCACTAAATGACAAAAACTGCCACTATTTTTTCTCATTGGATATGTCAGAAAAACTTAATATACGATATACCACTCTAAGCTACTGGCCCTTCATGCCTCTGGCCTGGTAACATATCAGGTATCAAAACTAGAGTGCATTTATATAGAGAAAAATCAAACTTCTGATTAGCAGTTTTAAATCTCTAACTTTACCAAATTGCAGATCTCATAAGCTAAGTGCATTTAATATTATCTAACCTCATAAAATCACATAAAATTTCCCACATGTGGAGTGTTGGAAATGAAAATCTCTATATCCCCTTTGTTTGCCTATCCTTTTGTCCATTTTCTAAGGAGTAAGACCCTCAATTCATTAAAAAAACATTCCATAGGCCTTAACGGCCACCTGAGTTGAATTTTGTTTTTAACAAACGACAAAAGCAAACTTAACAAAATTGCCTTACCCAATATCAAGCATACAGATCAAAGCCTGCAGAGTGTTGTTTGTAACAAGTGCAGATTTATAGGACAATGCAGAAATTTGAAAAAAAATATCTGATTCTAAGGGCCTTGCTATAAAGTTTTAAAAATGTTGAACCTCTTTGAAAATAAAACTGTCAAACTGTTTTGTTAATTCCAACTGAAAATGAATAAAAAAAACTCATGTGGCCTTCAAAGTGAGTCAAGATCATTCACTTGAAAAAACTTGGCAGCCCTTCATCCCAATATACTACAGTCCCAATATCAGAACAGTTGGTAAAAGTCTTTGATATGTACTGACATCATTGCCCATTATTCCAGCATGCTACCAGCTTATTTTCAGATTTGAGACGAAGGCATTTGAATATTCAAAGATATTTGACACCTGTGACCTTGAAAGTGGGTCAAGTTCATTCATATGAACAAACTTGGTAGCCCTTCCTCTCAGTTGCTACAGGCCCAATAAAATCATTACCCTGGACATTTCAGTTATTGAGAAGAAGTTGTTTGAAGATTTTAACATGTTTGACTCCAATGACCTTGAAAGCAAATCAAGGCCATTCACTTGAACAAACCTTGTATCCCTTCATTCCACCATGTTACAGGCCCAGTATCAGACTCCTGGGCCTTTCAGTTATTGAGAAGTTGTTCGAAGATTTTAACACATTTGACTCCTGTGACCTTGAGAGTGGGCCAAGGTCGATAATATGACCAATCTGGGTAGCCCTTCATTCCAGTATATTTACAGTCCCAATATCAGAACTCTAGGCTTTCGGATTATTAAAAAGAGGTCAAAATACAGATTGTTTAAGACAGAAGACACTTGACAACAAACAAAATTAGATTGCAATAGGTCATTTGGGACTTAAATAAATAGAGTCTTATCTACAATAAGCAGACTAGTCAATAAATAGAGAAGTTGACACATTAATGAATGATACCGCGCCCAGGCAAAACGTCACAAACACTATCATCTAACACACACAACAATATTAGTTTATTGAAAGCATTTATATGAGATGCACACATGCACAAGTTGAATACAATTACAATATATAGTGTTCATTAATCAGAACTTGCTCTATTTCCCCTAATGTGCTCCACCCTTCCCACCTCAAGGGGACGAGACAGATTATTTATACAAAATCTAATTGTGTCTTTCTCCAAGGATGCTTCAGACCAAACTTTGGCAAAATCAGCTTAATTATCATGACTAGTAACAAGTTGTATAAAAAGATGACGGACAGAAGACGGATGAATGAGGATGCAGTATCCCTATAACTCATATGTCCCTTCGGGTCAGGTGAGCTAAAAAATCAATATTTCAATTAACATGTCGTTCCAATTGATGGATATTGTTATTAAGAGAATAAATAAACCCAACATTTAATTATCAAAATGTAAATATAAATAACAGCAAGATGCACACCACTTTTAACCTTTTTCTCC